CCCTCGGGAATCCTTAATCATAGGTGATAATAACACATTCATGGTCTGCGCACAAACAGCTGTCTATGAAATGCCGAGGATGCCGTCCTCAGTTGCCTCATGTTTGTCAACCCAAAAGTGCGCCATTGAGTGCTACTAACTGGTCCTCAGTTATAGGCTCTAAATAAGTAGGACTTTAAAAATATATAGTCGTAAAGACCATCTGTCGTCATGCTAGTGAAATTACGTGAGCATTGCCGTTCATGCACTTACTGTAATCGCCGCTGCTGTAAGGTCGGCTCATTATTTAAGAAAGCTGATGCAAATAAAATTTTCGGTAACTTCGAGCTTTCTAAAACATACTCCCGATAGTATAAGCAGATCATATTGCCGGAAAAAACAAAGGAGACTGCCGGCAATGTTATCTGTCTTTACTACCAGCCGTTGCGACTGTCAGGAATTCTGTCGAGACCCAAGGCAAAGTAGGACAGAGGTGTTCCGTTAGTGGTCGGATAAACGTTCATCAACGAAAGACTCCCAACTTGTTCAGGTCAAAGTCAGACTTAACAATCCTCATCCGTAATTGGCCTATTTAGCAAGTGGATTCGGTATGCCCCAGTCTGCAAGCTAGGAGGACACCATAACTGCCCTATCAACGTTCCTCAGAATTTGATACGCGAATTTGGAGATTTTTAGTACTGGTCTCTAAATGGGACTGCTTGCTGGGCACAAACACGTCTTCTTATCTGATCGCTGAAAGTCCTTCCTACAACAGTTATAATTCTTGATCATAACCGAGGGAACAGGGGGCCGTGACTCAATGGTAGAGCTTCAAACTCAGTACTGCTCATAAGCAAAAGAGATCGAGGTCAAATCTCATGTTCCTCAAAAGTGGCATTGGATATAGGTGGCTGACGATGACAACGGAACCAGAACCTGCCATCGTCTTTGTCGGTACTGCTTTTGGCATCATCCATCTGCCTGCTAGGGATCTAGATTGAGCTCCAAGCACCAAAGGGAGGAGCCGAACCTGCGCGCTTCGATAAATTTAAACGTGGTACTGACAAAGACTAGGGGACCGGAATAGACATGTCTAGCTTCCTAACCATTAGCAGTCGGTCGAACCTAATCACAGTTCTGGATCATCCGGGATTCAAACTCTATACCTTTGGCCATTGTGAGAAACACGCTTCCATGGAGCCCTGGGCGCGTTATTTTAGCGTTTTGATCGGGGTTATGAACCATAATTGGACATGACAGACTGATGTCGTTTTATGAGTCAGAAATAACCATTCCAGCCTCCCTTTTCTTTTTCAGTTAAACTTTATCATAATATCCCATAAGTTCCTATGCGAGTGCCTGCGAGAGCTCCAGCGTGAATTCCAGTGACCCACAAGAGGATTATGTTCCGTAATCATGTCCGTGAACACTACATTATCAGAACTTAACATCATTTGACAGAAAAACAGTCATTTGCTAAAGTAAAGACTGAGGGGCGAATTGGAAACCAGACGATAGTGGTGTTTTTTGTCACACAGTGATGAGGTTTCGCCACCCGAGAAGGTTCAGGGGGAGGCTGGAATAGCAGTTTCTGCCTTCTTTGCCGTTACCAACTGGACGTACCCGCTCAACCGTGCTGAAGTTTAAAGCCTTCTGTGGCTGAATGTTGGACAGATTTGCGACAGGAAAGGATCGTCGTAAGATTTTAAACTCAAATTGTGCATGTTTCGTAAAACTTAGTCCCGATAACAGTGACATGGGGAACCTTCTATTCGAGCTAGGGCAATTTGAGATCCTACTTTTGGAAGCAGATGCCTGTCGTGAGTAATAAAGGGTCAGTTTCGTGATTGGTGGCTGTAGATGAAGTACAATGATCATTGGAAGAAGGACTTGGAAGGTATTTGCTTGCATTGACGACAGGAGCAAATACATTTTATGGGAATACTAAATCTGAAACTGGGCGATATATGGAATTAAGGACCAGCCCCTCTCCCCAGGAAATAAGGGTGACCTTGTACTAAGTTCCATTGTTCTAGCCCCAACACTAACTCTGAATATAATCTTTCTACACTTTAACGCAAGTCACCTGCATTAGAGAAATTCATATCGCCGTGTCTGGTAAATAGCGCTGACATTCGGTGTTGAAGGAGTCGACCCAATGAGCCATTACCATACCTATCTGTTACTTATGTTTCCTCTGCCATCTCCATAATTTCGAAAAGTAGTTTAGCCGTTCGTTCTCCTGACAAAATTGGAACGAGTATGTGCCGTCCGGCAGTCAACTTGAACAGTATCCTGCCCATAAACATTTTATAATAAATAGGAATGCATCCCAATAAATGTAATTTCAAGGAAAGGCGTCCTTTGAGAAAATGAGTGAATTTATTCGGTGAATTTTCGAGGCTGGATCCCCAGGTCGTCGTCAGACTTAATAACAGTTCTTTGCACATTTTTTCTCAAGTCGAAAATTTGCTAAATAAACTTACTCATTTTCCCAAAGGACGTCCTTCCTTGAGATTTTCAAATAACTTTTTACGCCTCTCCACTTTATGACTTGCGACTCAGTACTTACCCTTTATTTCTTTCCTTAGTCAGTGATGGTGCCTCTCTGGGAATTGCTCTCTCCATCTACAATGCCTCCAACCTGGAATTCTTGGGCTTCAAGTCCCTGCGCTATGTGGACACGGACGCCTACCTGGAACTTCTGCCCTCCCTCTGTTACCTTTCCGGTTTGCAGCAGATCCTGCCGGTGCGGACCAAAGAAGTCAAGCCGCAGACAACTTGTTGTAAGCCTCTAAGTTACAGCACCTACACAACATATCTACCAAATGTGTTAACAGGGTTGATATTTGCGGCGAATAGCTGAGACTGATCATTTACCGAGGGTCAGGTAGCTTCATCAAACTGCCTCATTAAGGCGCACAACATTTACTTTAATGTCAGGCATTGTTTTCGGTGAAAAGGGCATGGGGATGGGATGGGGGTGGGTGGTGGGAGACCTGAGTAGGTGTCTAACTGGCAACCACCCGTTGGAATGCCTAAACGACCAGTTAGAACAGTTAGTCTGTTTCGGCACAGCTTTCCTGATCCCTCGGGAAGATTTATGTATGTACCACCAGGGCGGTAGAATGGAATTCCCACCCAGTACCACTGGGCATTTGCGGCGACTGTCATTCCATAAACGTGACCACCCTGACTTGGACACCCATAGACCGACGCACACACAAGGCTGATCCGGGTGGGGGGGAGGGGGTTGGGAAGTAACCATCCAATCCTCAGTGGGAAAAAAGGGATCGCAAAGCAAGTGGAATTGGAGAAATCAACCCGCATTCTGCATTCCATTGTCCCGTGGACATTCAAAATGTTTAGTTCACTCGTTTACCTCTTAGCCTGTCTCTCCTGAACGGACTGAATGTCTCCCAGAAATTTATCAGTGTTGCATAGTCGCTCTCAAAGGATATCTCTGGTAAGGAGTAGAACCATAGGAATATTCATTCCCGCTATCTTAGCCGACAGTATTCACGAATAGAGCCACACCCGGCTGTGTCGCATACGCGATTTAGTCTTCAATTCATTAGTCATCACTTTAACCAGACCTTTCTTTACCGCTTCTGTTCAGCACTCTGGGTGATGGTGAGTCGGAAATTAATAATTAATTAATTAATTACTCTGCTAAGGGGAAAAAGCTAAGACAGTAGACACTTCTTATTAGCTTTTATTCTTTAAAATGATCAGGTAAAATGATTGCGGCTGTGTAATCATCGGTTATACTTGTATCTCACCACTGAACGTCATACAAGAGGGGAACTAGTTTAAGTATGCATCCCACTCCTAAACAACTCCATCACTTGGTACACAGTCATCCGCTTGAACACTCGTGATCTCGAATAAAGCAAAAGCGAAATGTTAAACTGTCCAAGATCAAATTTTTATTCAGTTTATAGTTTCTTTTAGACATTGGTTCAGGTGTTTTTTTTTCGTAACAAGTAAGACAACTCACTCAAAGGCTGCCCTTCGGACATTCTATACCTCTTCACATCTACCTATTTTGATTGGTTAGCTCTTAAATAATCTCTGTTTAACCATTTAAGACACATGTTTCAATCCGTCCTTAAATACCTGATCGTTCAGTGCGAAGCATTTGCATTAAAGTAATAATTTTGCTTTAAGAAGGCCGATCTAACGTGAACGTATTCTATTCTGTGCAAAAAGAGAAAAATAATATCGGTCCATTTCATTTAATTTATACTAATTCTGGGCTGGCGTTTGAAAATCACCAAGTCTAAACTGATTGGAGTTTGAACGTTAACTACCTTTGATCTTTGTAAAATTTCAGTTATCACACACACACATCAACCGAAGCCGTTGCAGCGACAAACTTAGAGTACATCTCTTATTTAAGAAACTTCGGTCGCAAAACGAACCTTAATCACTGAACTTTTCTTGCTAGCTGGAAGCTGGAAGCCTAACTCTTCCCTTTTTTTAAAAAAAGTAGAGCACGTAGCGGAGTGTTTACTCACAGTAAAAACGCCCTCAACGACTGTTGGTTTTTCGTTTTTTGGGAAGCATTTTTTCTGGTCCATTGACGGAAATAGGCGGCCTTGTGGGCTATTCGACCACCAGTTTAGGACAGACAATCGCCCCCTCCGAAATAAAGAATGTGCTGGGCATAACATCAGAAGATAAGGAAGATGAAGCAATAACGCCAATTACGGGCGAATAAGTACCTAGCCTCTATTCTAACCACTAAGCAACAATTTTGTCTTATAGGAAGCACGCAATTCCACCTCTTCGTTCAAAAAATAGTAGTCACCCTTTACGCTCCATTAAAATTGTGCGTACTAATAATCAGCAGATTTATTACATTCTTCTTCTAGGCTGAGTTGTTGCGGAGGCGAAATCATAAATAAGTCAATTTATCATTGTTCTTTGCTACAGAAGTACTGAACTGTCGATGGTCAGAAATCTTTCCAGATGGCTTTTCAGATGGCGAAAAAGCAGTAAAAGGGGACGAAGGAAGCGGCGAATAATGAAGGTAGGAATAGCAAAATTAGCTTATGTAGCCCCACTCATAGACCCCCTAGTCCCAGCATTTTGTCCTGCAAAAACGGTGGTTAAAGAGTTTTTTGGGGTGGGGAAGTAGGATAGGCAGAGAAGGAAATGTTTGGAAATGAAAAAATTCAGTCGAAATTGCTTCCCGCGGCCGCTGGGTGCAGGTTGCTTCGCATGTAAATTGAAGGTGTGCGCGGCGCTTCGCGCCGCGGACTCTACTAACCTAACTCCAC